TTGTTCATTTTGTAAGCAACACCCTGAGTCCCTGGTTCACTTATTTTGGCAATAAGAATGTTGATAAACACTTTTCCTTATTATGGGAAAATGTTTGGTTTGGTTTTATTAATTACAAACAGAACCTTTACATACAAATAAAATATATTTCCTTAATCTTCTTATCTTATTAACACAATTTTATATACATAAATGTAAATTTACAAACAAAAATCTTTTTTTATATTTTGCTTACTGCAACGCAGTATTACTTTGAAACTGTTTCTAACTCTTTTACCAAAAAAAAAAAAGACTTTAAAAACATCTGAAATTTGTAAATTATATAACCTTTTTCTTCAATGTGTCTTTCTTCTAACTCTAGCACTAAATTCTCTCAGCACAAACAGCTCCATTGTAGAACTAGCACTTCTTGTGTGTATTGCCTCTTCTTGTTGAATTGCTGAATGCCTCCTCAATTGCAAGCATCTGCTAAACGACTAATAAATAAATGTTCATGTAATAAATAAAATAAATATAAATGTATCAATCAATCAAATAATCTATAATGTTTTACCCAAATGGTGCAATGTTTTATCTACAAGCGCAGAAATCTTCTGGAGAAAAAATAACACATTTATAATTCAGTAGCATAGTGACACAGAAAGGGAAATCTGTGTTGTCAGGTTGAATAATTTAGAATACAAGAAAAATGTACATGTTTTAAAAAAGGAAAATGAATCAACCCCAGTTTCAGATTTTTAACAAATGTATTCGATGTCCTTTGGAAGAAAAAAAAACACCTATCTCGAATTGCCTGTGAAAGTGACTAAGTTACAAACAACATCTCTTGTTGACATCTCTCTGTCCTTAGCCTACCCTGTCATATTTGTCCGAGAGCTCTCTCACTCTCCCTCTCTCTCTCTCTGTGTGTGTGTGTGTAAGCTTGGTGACTCATACTCAATTGCCTTAATTTACTTCAACTTAACCTTACAGTGACATCACAGGCCATTGGAGTTCATGTGTTCCTCCTTATCCTGTTTAACTGCAGTAAGAAAAATGCACTTTAAACACAATTTTCTAAAAGAAAATCTTTATATTTATACGGTGCCGAACATATACAAGTACACCCCTCACAAATCTTTTGAATTCATATTTTTAATAGGAAGCTGTATGATATTATATGTATATACATTAGATTAGTCAGTACTGAAGCCAAATCTGGAGCTTATCTAACAAAGTAACTTACGATAAGGTTCCAAAAACTAGAACTCCCAAATTTATGTTATAGAAAACTATTAAATACAAATTTAAAAAGAGGAAAAATCAAGAGAAGCAAAAAAAATAAATAAATAAATAAATTCTTATTTAGTGTCTATAGTCTTAATTGTGTGTAAGTAAAGCAAATACATTTTAAAAAAATAATAATAATCTTTTGGAACTTTTGTAGGTCGTAATTTATTTTTTTGCAATATTTTGTGTGAATTTATTGTATTATCTTTAAATTTCTAAATTTTGCACACTAAAATATTATTTGATTAAATATATCTTTTTAATAAATCTGTTTTGTTTAAATGCACCAAAATACACTGCCTATATTCACTGAGAAATGGAGAAAAATATTCATTCTTAGAATGGGGTGTACTTAATTATGCTGAGAACTGCATATGTAAAATTGTGTACATCATTTCGCTGTTCTCTACATGTTGGCAAAAAATGTGATGTATCCAAACATGGTATTTTACAAGTATCAATGTCTTGTTGTACTGAACTGTCCTAACAGATGACATCAAATTATCTGAATGTGTAGATAATTTGTGTGGTTAAAGAGATTGTTCACCCAAAAATTACAATTTAATCAATTGTTACAGGTTTCCAACATTTTTAAAAATATCTTCTTTTGCATTAAACAAAAGGAAGTTTCAGACAAGTTTTAAACACATGTATTGTGTGTGTGTGTGTGTGTGTGTGTGTGTGTGTGTGTGTGTGTGTGTGTGTGTGTATGTGTGTGTGTAAGTGAAATAATTTCAGTTTTGCGTAAACTATAGTTTTAAGAGTGTATGTTCAGATTGGCTGCACACACACACTCAGGGGCGAACTTGGTGATTTGGGTTCCTATGCAATTCCAGGTATGGGACCCAAGCATTGAAACTCAAAACATTCTCTTTCTCTATAGATACTTTTTTCTCTGTAGATTTCTATTTATTTATTTATTGTAAATAAACCACATGATTAAGTAAATATTTTAAGGGGAGCCTTTATCTTCTTAATGTAAAAATAAATACAATAAATTCACAAATAAAAAACAAGTTAACAAACTAACTGTACAGTTCATTAGCCATATTTGTGATTAGATTTTAATAGTTGCATGTGCAGTACAGAGGGAACGTTCCACTATTCATGGGGGCCACCGGTTTTAAAAACAAGTAATATTGTTAAAACATGATACAAAATTTATAAAAGAGCTTTGTGATTAATACAGGCTTCTTGGCATTGGTCGGGCCCCCTAATTCCATGGGTTTATTGCTTAAGTCTGCCCCTGCACACACTCTCAGTTAAGCATGGATGTTATTTGAGGTAAGAAAGTGACTGGTTGCGTATTGCGTGCTTTATTACACTGCTAACTCAATGAAGGGCAGCTTGTGCTTCACAAAGAGTCTTTATGATGTTTATCGCTGGTGCCCTGAGGACAGCAGTTCATTTTCAAGAGAGGCTCTATACAATATTAGTTGAAAACATTAAACTAGGATTACAATAATTATTTTAAATTAGTATTACTAAAATGAATAGATGATTTATTAAACTGAATTTTGATTAAAAGCTGTGTATTATAAATGTTGTCTACTGTGCAGTTCAGTGCAGAAAATACACAGGGATGTACACTACCTGACAAAAGTCTTGTCGCCCATTCAAGTTTTAGGAACAGCAAATTATAACTGGACTTCTAGTTGATCATTTGGCATTAGAGGCAGCTTATATGAAAGGCAAAGGCCTCTAGATTATGCCTATTTTACCGAAATAAAATATGATCATGCCTTGATTTTGAATTATTTAATTAGGACAGTAAGGTCTGACTTTGCTAAGACAAAAGTCTTGTTGCATAACAGAAATAATGTACAGTATAGAATATAAAGTCATGGTGCAGTGGAGAAAGAATGAATGTTGTGTGACTCTCATGAGCTTGGAGGACTGCATCCATACATCTCTGCTCTGACTCAAATCTCTTTTTAATAAAGTCATCCGGAACGGCAAAGAAAGTGTTCTTGCAGGACTCCCAGAGTTCATCAAGATTCTATGAAATCATTTCCAATGCTTCCTTCTCCAGCTTACCCTAAAAAAGCTAAATAATGTTCATGTCTGGGGACTGGGCTGGACAATCCTTGAGCACATTGACCTTCTTTGTTTCAGGAACTTTGATGTGGAGGCTGAAGTATGAGTAGGAGCGCTATCATGCTGAAGAATTTGCCCTCTCATGCCCCTATACTTAATATAACCCCAAACCATGATTTTTCCTTCACCAAACTTGACTGATTTCTGTGAGAATCTTGGGTCCATGCTGGTTCCATTAGGTCTTCTGCAGTATTTGTGATGATTGAGATGCAGTTCAACAGATGATTCATCGGAAAAATCGACTTTCTGCCACTTTTCCAAATGATCAACTAGAAGTCAAGTTATTATTTGTTGCTCTTACAACTGGTCTTTTGTCAGCTAGAGTAAACATTTAGTTATTAAGGATTACATATCTGCTAAATTACTCCTCTTAAAGAGAGAGAGTTTAAAAATGTCCTCGCATTTCTTCACACACAAGTAGTTTTTAGAAACTTTTTTCTTCTGTTGAACACAAAACAAAACATTCTGAAGAATGTCTGATGTCATTGACATCCATATTTAGGATAAGAACAAACAAAAAAAAGTCAGTACAAAAAAAAAAAAAAAAATCAGTAAACACTGTTTCTAATAATTTCATTGCTACCATAAAATCTAAACGGGCATCATGGTGGCGCAGTGGGTAGCAAGATTGCCTCACAGCAAGAAGGTTGCTGGTTCAAGCCCGGCTGTGTCAGTTTGCGTTTCTGTGTGGAGTTTGCATGCTCTCCTCGTGTTTGCATGGATTTCCTCCGGGTGCGCCAGTTTCCTCCACAGTCCAAAGACTTGTGCTATAGAAGAACGGGGTTAGCTAATTCGTTTGTAATCTATGTGTGTGAATAAGTGTGTATGGATGTTTCCCAGTTATGGGTTGCAGCTGGAAGGCCATCCGCTGCGTAAAACATATGCTGAATAAGTTGGCGGTTCATTTCGCTGTGGCGACCCCAAATTATTAAAGGGACTAAGCCGAAAAGAAAATGAATGAATGAATGAATGAATGAATGAAATCTAAACGCTACAATCAAAAGTGGCTTCTTTTATTTTAACTAGAAATAACTGTGCATTAACTTTGTAATGCTTACTTTTTTATAAAGTCCAAATAATTTTAAAAATCTCACATGTGCTCACACAAACACTACAACCAATCAATCAATTCACCTACAGCGCATGTCTTTGGACTGTGGGGGAAACAGGAGCACCCGGAGGAAACCCACGTCAACATGGGGAGAACATGCAAACTCCACACAGAAAAGCCAACTGGCCCTGACGAGACTCGAACCAGCGACCTTTTTGCTGTGAAGCAGCAGTGCTAACCACTTAGCCGCGTGTCACCTAAGTCACATTCACTGAAAACAAAGCCAGTTATGCTTGTAAAAAAAAATTGCAAGGAGTCAATAATTTGTGTTAATATTTATGCAAAAAACACACAAAACGGTATTCACAATTTTTTTAAATGCTGGCATTTGAGCTTGATGTATTTTTCATTTTAGTCTCATTTCATTGTTTTTGTTTTGTGAAGTTTGTCATTATGACCGCATACAGGTATACAGTAAATACTGAGTAACATTAGATTACAGAGACTACATATTACAAATCAAAATAATTAACTACATCAACACTGTTAGTGCATTTAACTACACAACACAAGCCATTGTAATTTTCAATAACAGCACTGCCACCATTTGATCAGCAGTAATTTGGTAATATGAATTTAAACCGATGTATTGTATTGTGACAGTGTGCAATTGATGTGCTTCTCGTGCATCATGACGCAGAACAAAGCTTGTATCAGCTGACCTCGCGACCCCGACTGAACCCTCCATAGAGCATCGGTCGGTCTGCAGATGACACAGAGACAGAAAGACAGACCTCTACGATCCAAGACGAAGAGGACAAACACGCCGCAGTTTCAATCAGTATTTGCATCTCTGAACAGACCAAAAATCGCCTGATAAGCTCCGTGCGTGACTTAAAAGAGAACACTAAGCGTATAACTTGAAGGTAAGATACAATTAATTCATTTTAAAAGAGCGTAAATGATGTTTCATATCAGATATTTGAAGGGAACACGTATCAAAAATCGAGCTTAGACGTTAATAATCGTATAAAGAGCGCGTCATGTTGACGGCAGCGGTTGAAGTGCGTGTTTGCATTACAAGGCACGATTATGAGAAGAAACATTTTGGATTTTTAACTAGCATTTCAGTAAATGAGTTCTGCAAAGTGTTAGTTAGTGTCATAAATACATTTTCAAAGTATGAAGAACCGCTTTTCACTATATTATATATATAAGTTTGTGTAATTATTTGTATCAATCATTAACGTTCTTCAAGAAACCATCGATGTCTATTTGACTAATAAAGCTCATTTCGAAAAATGTACAATTGTGGTGACAAATCATATACATGGGCTATAGGCAGCTTTACAAAACTTTTGAAAATCTGCAACAGCAAAAAAAAAATGTAAATATGTAAATAATATCTAGCCTACTTAAATATAGCTATAAAATATATACCCTCTATTGGCACGGGGTCAGGAACCTTTTTTCAGCAAAGAACCATTTCTGAATTTTTTTTTTGGCAAATGCATTATTTAGAGAGCCATTGGGGATATGAGCATCACATGTCGAGCAAGTCCATGTATCAAGAAAGGATAATTTATAGAATTGTTTTCTTTTCGCCATCAGCACTCGTATATGTTGTTTGAATTTACGTGCGCAAGGATACCATAGACATGTAAGTTGCATAACTTTTGTTAGTGTCCCATTCAAGTTAATCCACAGCGCTGCACATGCGCATTGAAATATCCCTCTATTTTTATTCCTTTTCATTTTGCTGTAAAAATATACAATAAAAATGTCATTCGTAATTGTATTTACAATAGGGAACTGATTTCTAGTGACAGTTTAAATTTTTTATTGAAGATAGCTGGAGAGCCACATATTTTCAGTCAAAGAGCCACATGTGGCTCTCGAGCCCTAGGTTCCCTAACCCTGCTCTATGGCATGGTGTTGCCCTTTAGCAACAAACCAGTTTTCTGGCTCACAAAACACCCCTTTAATTTTTTTAAGTAAAAATATCTAATTATCTAATAATTAGTTCATGACTAATTAAATTTGAGGCGGGTATGGGTTTGACCGCTAGCAGAACGTAAGATAGATTTAACTTTTTAACACATTTAAATTTGAATGTATTTATAATAAAAAAAAATATGTGTGATATGCATGTGAAGAAGCATATTGGATTAAATAAAGACACTATTTTTATATACACTATTTTGTAGACTAAAATGATAGTTTTTCATTAAAACAATAACATCTTACAAAAACATTTCTCAGGGAATTCTTTTTTTTATGCAATAAAAAGTGCATTTTTTAAGTGCATTTACACAAAACGGTTTTATTAAAATATTTTATCTTTTATCTTTATATAAAATGTAAAGTTTATATCCAATAAAATAAAATTTTGGTCATCTAACACATTTTTAAAAAATAGAAAGAAATACACTTAAATTCAAGTTATTCTTAAAATATATCTATTTTATTTTTCCTTATATATTTTAATTTTCCTTTTATATTTATATATATATATATATATATATATATATATATATACTTATATATTTTTAATATTTTAATAATTAATATTATTTAAAAACAATTTAAGATGCCACATTGCTACATAGTTTTGTTATAAACCAACTAATATAAACAACTCAATATTATTTCTGCTTTCCACCACTAGATGGAGGTGAAGATCTTTAAGACGATGAGTTTCTCGCCTGCCAACATTACCAAGCTTGTGAGAGTCTAGAGATTTCACACATTCATAAAGTCCCAGACTCGAAGCATGAGGGACCAGAGTGTCCTGCTGGCAGAACAGAAAGCGATGTGTCCTGAAGAAATAAGTCAGGATGGAGCTCTCTCCTACACAGAAGAAACAGTGTCCTTATTAACATCCAGCAGCATGTCAGCTCAATCTTTTCTCTTTCATCCTAATGGTCTGAGATGCAAAGATGGTCCAGAAATGGATGCATCGAGTCGGAAGCGAGAGTCCATCCCTCTTGAGAAAAAAGAAGAAGGTTATCAGGACAAACGCAAAAAGAACAACGAGGCTGCCAGGCGTTTCCGTGAAAAACGCAGAAACAACGACAGAGTGATTGGAAACCAAGTCCTGGCTCTTCTTGAAGACAACGCACGTCTGAAAGCTGAGCTTCTGGCACTGAAGTTAAGATTCGGTTTGATCAAAGATCCCTCAGAAGATCCGGTGCAAATCTTTTCACATATCCAAGAATTTCCGACAATACGAGATACAAACCCACTTACTGTACAGCCATTGCCAATCTCAACGCAAAACTATGGGTTCATCATGCCAGCGGGGTCAAGTATTGGCAATCCAGATATCTCAGTTGCTGATGAAGTAGTAGGAACATATTCATCAGGATATCAAGAAAACAGTCTGAAAAGTCTTCCTCATAAACTGCGTTTTAAGATGGCATCTGGAAATGAAGGCGCTGATGGTTTTCTTCATCCAGTGGAAAATAAGGCTTCGGTTTGTAAGAGCACTGAGGGTTTATGGAGCCCGCAAACACACACAATGCCATCAGTTTGTTTAACGGCATATCAGAATAACTCTTCAAGTCAGAGCCTGATCAGATTACAGCTCAGCGCTTTGACTAAAGAAGTGGCCGAGCTCAAAAAAACGCTTCTCTCAAAAGCACTGAAATCAAATCGCACCTGACGTCTGACTCATCCAAAGAAAGAAGGCCCATTTACACATACAAATATAAGGCGGCAGCTGGTTGCTCACTGAAACAGCTGGCCATTTTTTTTTTTAGATCTAGTGAAACATTAATATGCTTGTCTGCTACACTAGTAATGACACTATGTGTTGTATTAAATGACAAATATTGTGACAAAAGCGCCACAGTTTTCTCTTGAAATATCAATGTTATTGTTGTTTAATATGTATGAATTTGTATAATCTCATTTGCACGTTTTAAGTATGATTTGCTCATCCCCATTGAAGGTTGGGTTAAGGGGCGGGGTTTGGTGCCACGCCTCTTTTTAAAATGTCATATTTTCGTACGTCTGAACTCATGAATTCTCGACTGTTTGTGTGTGGTCACGTGATGTGCCTTTTCAGCAGTATAGTGTGGATGAAGAGCTGTTCAGAAATGCTACAGTGTGGACGTGGATCGTTTTCTTTCTTAAATGCCCCTGCTGCGACGGGGGCGAGGCAGAGGATCATGATGCCAGGTCATCATTGGGATGTCTATCGGCCATCGGTGATGGATAATGGCATCGTCTATCGACCCAACCCTAAATTCCATATTTCTTTTTGCTATTTACCGCCAGTTTTTCTATACAGAACAGGGCTTTATTCACAAACGTTTTATTCGAGTTGTGCGCATAACTTTAATTTGCATCTTTGGATGGAAACTTCGATATTATCACATGACAAAGTCAGGACAACAAATATTCATTCATTCATTCATTTTCTTGTCGGCTTAGTCCCTTTATTAATCCGGGTTCGCCACAGCGGAATGAACCGCCAACTTATCCAGCAAGTTTTTATGCAGCGGATGCCCTTCCAGCCACAACCCATCTCTGGGAAACATCCACACACACACACTATGGACAATTTAGCCTACCCAATTCACCTGTACCGCATGTCTTTGGACCGTGGGGGAAACCGGAGCACCTGGAGGAAACCCACGCGAAGGCAGGGAGAAGATGCAAACTGTACACAAAAATGCCAACTGAACCGAGGTTCGAACCAGCGACCCAGCGACCTTCTTGCTGTGAGGCGACAGCACTACCTACTGCGCCACTGCCTCGCCTCATAAATATTTTGATGTAATAATTTTTTAATAAGTTAATCAGGTTTCAACTATAATTTGTAGATGCTGAAATGCCTAGAAAAGTTAAGTTAATTCAACCAAAACATTTAAGACAGCAAGAAGTATTTTACAGTGTATTCATAATTTAATTTTCGTTTGGCCTCATGGGATGGTAAAGTGTCGATTGGATGTGCACTTCAGAAGTAATAGGTCATCATACTGTTTTTTTAACACTATAGATATAACTGTATTACTCCTGTACTGTTTTTCAAATACTATATAGTAGGGAAGTGTAAAATTTCAGATTTTAAACTTTGTTTAACATAAAAAATTCACATATGGAAATTAAAACCCAATTTTTTTTTTTTTACTTGGGGCAAGAACATTTGTGGTTTTCTCCAATTGTTTAAATGTACTCGGGGTTCCCAGTATTTTTCTTTCTTTGACATTAATTCTACACATCTGGCTCAAATATGTGGATTCTATGAATAAAGTGCACACTCCGTTTACCCAGAAAGAGGGGAACTAAAAAGCTAGAACTCTGTTTTAAACCACACATCTGTTATTAAGAGATCTAAGATAAAGGCATCTGCTGAAACTGTAGAACAACACATAAAAATGCACAATGGCACACAAGAGGATTTTGATGTTGACGTTTGAGTGTTTTTTTTTTCAAACTCACATTCTTTGCAATCCAAGGACTACATTTGCCTCCATGCTTAGAGTCTGACAAAGAATCAGTCGCGCATTTTAAAGCACAGTGTCTGTGAGATTTACAGTGTAATATTAAAAAAAGAACAATAATCTAATAACAATTGTACTTTTGATCATTTAGTTCTGTCTTAAAGAAGAATTAAACACACACAAACTATATAGTTTATTTGTGCGCATCCACTATTATTTAAAAGTTTTTAGGAAAATGTATACTTTTAGTGTATACTTTTATAAGTATAACTTTTAGTTAAACATATACTATAGTATACAGGTATGAAAGTACAGTTATTAAGCACATTATTAATGTGCTTCAAGTCAAGAATACAGCATTTGTATTCTATAATGTAGAGTTAATGCTTAACAAATAACAAATTCACTATTTGCTAATGCTTCATAAATGATTCATAGTGTTATTATAAAGTGTTACCAAAATTATATAAGTCTGTATAATAACAGAAAATGTACTAGCAGTTTTTTACAAGGATTTTGTACCATGATACACAACACATCACTTACAATACATCACTTTAAGCTATTAAAAATGTTAATAAAAGTCACTTTTTTAAACTTTTCAAGGTTAAAAGTTGTTGGAAGAAATATCAAGTTCCCATAATATTCAAAAGCATAAATAAACTGGGAAAAATACACAAAATACAGAAAGCTGCTAATTTATGGATATTTTTTACTAAGCAACTAACTCCTGTTTATGTTAAAATAATACATATATATATATATATATATATATATATATATATATATATATATATATATATATATATATATACAGTTGACATCAGAATTATTAGCCCCCCTGAATTATAAACCCCCTGTTTATTTTTTACCCTTTGTCTGTTTAACAGAGAAGATTTTTTTCAACACATTTCTAAATATAATAGCTTTAATAACTCATTTCTAATAGCTGATTTATTTTATCTTTGCCATGATGACAGTGTGTATGTATGTATGTGTGTGTGTGTGTGTGTGTATATATATATATATATATATATATATATATATATATATATATATATATATATACACACACACACACACATGTAGTTGTAATATAATCACTTGCACTCAAGAATAATAGAAGGATAAATTTTGTTTAAACTTTTTTTTTTTTTTTTGCATAAGTAAAATGTGGAGGACTTTATATATTTGCAAAGATTCTGTAATTGTACATATTCTCTGTCATGGTCCTGACCTGACAGTCTTGTCTGTCCTGTCAGTGTTTAATGTTTGCTTGTTTGTCCTGTGCTTATTTACATTGCTAAGTCTTAATTTGTGTTGGCCATGTGCTCCTCTTGTCTTTCCTCCTTGCTTTCAGTTACCCCGCCCTCTTATTTATTTAGACCTTGTTATCCTGATTGTTTTCACCTGTCTCTCATGTGCTTTGTTCTATATAATGTGCTGAGTGTTCTCATTTCTTTGCTGGTTCGTTCCATGTGAGCTTGTATTATATTCTTGCCTTGCATTTGTAGTAAGCTTTTGGTCTTGCCTGTTCTAGTTAGCTTATCTATTTATTGTTTGTTTGTAGCTATTACTTTCTTTCGTTGTTTCTAGTGATTACTTAATTTTGTGTTCTAATCTTTATTTTACTTTTACCCTTAGAGCCATTGTTCCATTTTTCTGTCAGTCTTAGTCTTTTAGTAATTTATTAGTAGTTGTTTGATTTGTTTAATTACTCTCTTTAAGATTCTAAAAGTTTATTTCAGTTTTGTTTGATCAGATTGCTTAAGTCTGTCTGTCTTCTAGTATTTAGATTTTTATTTCATTTCAGTTTTTTTTTTTTATTGTATATTATTACTGTCTGTTTGTCCTGTCTTATAATTTTTTCCAGTCCTATTCCGTGTCCTGACCTCCCTGGTCTGGAGTCTGCTCCAGGATCTAGATCTGGTTCTGACCACTGTTGCTCCTACTCGCTGGCTTTTCATTTTAGTATTTTGTCACTACCACTGGCTTCCTTGTGTTGTTGCCCCTACCGTTTGGACCTTATCACCCCCCTGTGTCTACTTGTGCCTTATTCTGTCAATAAACCCCTTTGTATTGTTCATTGCTGCAACTGGGTCTGTTTTCTTGCATTTAAACGTGACATTCTCCCAATATAAAAATAAATAAATAAATGGGGCCATTTTTGTTCTAAAGGTCCTGAGTCTGACTTTTTTTTTTTTTTGTATGCTTAGATTAAAATATATTAATTAAAAGAAATGCAGATAAAATTATTACATAAAAATACACATTTTTTTGTCTAAATCCATACCGTACAGTTAAAATGAACACAAAAAGATCTAATGTAAAATACACTTAATTTGCCATCTCAGACATTTCGTTCACACATGATGCTTATTCAAACAGTGGATGCCAGATTTCAAGCAGCACTTTACAAGACAACACACATCTCCCGCGGAGGCTGATTCCTGCAACAGCTTCAATGGCAGCGTCAGCACACGCAGCACCTCCACAGCTATTTAAAGATGCGAGGAAAAGTCATTGATTCCCTATTGTAAGGTGTGACTTCAACAAACAAAGCTGAAAGTAACATTCAGTTCAGCAGAGGACGGTGCTCCTGCACAGAGGACTGAGTAGTAGAGCGGAAAGAAACTACTATTTCTGAATGCGTTTCCTCCAGAGTCCCACAGTCTGCCAAACTGTTCGCAGCTACATGCTCAATGTCAACATCAGCACTTCTGCTGCTATTTCAGGCAGTGGGAGACAAAGTTATTGATTCACGAATGCATTTATACTAAACATGCAAGTGATGCAAAAAAGAAGGCAGTGGATCGAAATGGATGCTTTACAGGCTCATCTGCTTAAATTCCTCTGATATTTTAAAATCAAAGCTGAGAGCTGACCGAACTAATCAGTGTGTGTTTATAACAATAATAAAATAATACAAATAAAATAATAAAAAAACAATAAAATCACTCTTTGTCTATAACAATAGTTATAAAATTTTGATTTTATTAATAACAATGGCAATAATATAATAATTGATGAAAATAGTAGTATTATAATAATGATAATAATAACAAAACATTTAACTAAAAACTATTTAATGAAATTTTTACTAATAATAAAACAAAAATACAACATATTTTAAAAAAATAATTGACAAAATATTGAAATAAAACCAATATTTATTCATAATATTAAATTTGTTTATTAATAGCAACAATTTTATATTTGTTATTTTATTTATTAGCAATATCACACAAGTAGCAGTGCGATATGGCTGTATATTGGCACTGGTGGGAGGCGTGCATTGTGCCTTAGTGTACCACTAGTGACAAAATACAGTCATATTGCACTGCTACAAGTGTAATATTACGTTTATACAACAGTTTAACGGCATAATTGTTTATAAAGCAAAAAATCAAACACAGAGAGTCTCAACCCTTTTGTAAGAGGAACTACTTTTTTCAGCCATTCATACAAATCTGGGTCGTACACATACACATTAGGTTGAAGGACATGAACTGTCACTAGTCTAGTGATTTCCCAGTATTTCTCTATTGCAATCAGAATATCACAATAATTAACCCAGAAAAAAGCAAGAGCAAAGCAAACACTACAAGATTACTATGGTATAAATACAGCACTACTAAATGCAAAACAAGGAGATCGACTTAGATTGTCACTTACCTTTTCTATAATAGTTTGTTCAGCTGTAGTTTGAAACCCACGCTGGAAAAAAAGCTGTTTTTCTCCCCGAAAGAATACTTATGCGGGCTCTGTCACTCTCTTGTGGCGGTATTTCAACCGTCTTTGCTCTGCTCAGTATGCCAGGCTAATCCCAATAATGGCCACCAAGGCACTGAATCTTAGAAATCATAAATAATTAAAACAGGCACTGTCCTTATAAATAAACTGCATGCAATCTAAACAACTACATTCTCGACAAAAAAAGCCTCAAAAGTACATGATGTTGTCCAACAGCTACAATATTTGTCCAACTGTAGTCCTCTGCTTGCCACTCTTGTGGGCGG